TTGCCACAAATTACTTAACAATTGCAACTGTATAAAGACCAAACTTTCTTCATCTGATACTATATTTATAGGCACTTGTTATGAGTGGGAAATATTTTTCGTGCAATATTTATTCTCCACACACCACCTCGCGAGATCAACGTGTAGCTGGACACTTACACAGTGAGACCCTACGACATAAAAGTTGCAATTTATCTTCATATTTCGTGTAGTTATGCATTTAAAAGCACTTACCTGTTTTTTGAAAACCTTGTCCAACGTAATATCATATAAATTCTGTATTTCTCTCATTTTTTAGAAACTTGGGACTCCGTTTCTGTTTCTGTCCTCAAAAATCAACAGACGAAGGCACAGATACTAACAAACGAGATTTAAACGAGAGTAGCAATTAAGCGTAACAGAGATAGGCATCCATTGTTCTCTGGGTTCTATTCATTCCGACCAATGAGAGACCGTAATACGGGCTCCGCCCCCACGCGTGTAATCTCCTTCTGTTATAACTCCTTGGTTGCACAAAGCCAATTGTTTGGTCACGTATCAATCGTGTGCAAACTAGTTCTAGAACTCGTAAGTGCTACATACCAGAAGCTTGAATACTAAGACCTTATGAAACAGGTGGACACAGCTCACACATTTAAACAGGCTTCTTTTCAACTTACATATACATTCCTGTTCCACGTCCAATGTGCTCTCAGATGGCCGTCGCCATCTTTGATTCGTTGCCTACAACAGCTTCTCTGACACAATCACATCTATCGCATTTCCACATTTAGCTGAAATTTTTAAGTCCTTACTATACATGTAGGGGGCCTACTGCATGAGCTTTGTAAGAAAGAGCGTCAATATCAATTAAGCAAAAACATTTTATTGCACAACAACAACAATAGGCCTACAGATATAATAATAATAATAATAATAATAATAATTATTATTATTATTATTATTATTATTATAATAACTAATCAACCAAATTGTTTTCCTGTAGGGCCTACTTTTAAAATCGTAATAGTGGATGGGGGTGGTCTATTTAGATGATTTTATACTTGATTAAGATCTTCTGACAATTTTTATTTACCATAAACGAGCTCATAGATTAAACCGGCTGTCGCCTGAGAAAAACCAAGTGTTTTGAGATAGGCCTAGCTAATCGTGGCCTTGAGCGATATTGACTTTATAAAGAGAGCCAATAAGAAGCGTTCGACGCCGACTGCATCCAAGCTCACATCCACACAGATTTTAAGGAAGTAATTAGGGCCTATATATAGGGCCTACACTGGGTTTACAACCAGAATAAAGCTCCCCCATGCACCCTCACTCAAAATACAATTTTCTAAGATATTCTTAAATTAAAATGAAACTTAACCTATACACTCAATGCCACTTTTCATCTAGCCTATTTGATTCCCCTTTTATTACTAATTGCAATTAGCGTAAGCGTAAGTCATTAACTTTACAACAAAATTGCTCGAAGAATTGGTTGAATGGAATGATTTTGTTACAAATGTCAACTTTTCTTTCATGCAAAGTTTTAGAGTTGCAGACACAAAATGTTTAGGCCCCCCTAATCTCTAGACATGGAATAGAATCAGAAACACGGTTATATTGCGCATTTCCAGTGAATATTTCTTAATATGGTCCATGAAAATTAGCTCTACTAAATAAAGATTCTATTAAAACAAAATCGCTAAGGCCTATAAATCTCCAAGAAAGTTTAAAATCAATTTCAGAATTCCACTCACATTTTTTTATTAAGACTAGTAGGCGTAGATCTATAGGCTACCTTGAGTGTCAGAGCAACGTAAAAGCTACATGTAGCTTGTTAAATATACCTTGTGATGGAGTCGCTTTTACTAGGTATTGCTGATATGGGTTATATATGAAATCAAGATCGAGCTGGCAATACCGGAATCTAGAACCTAGGGTAGTATAGGCAGGTACAGGTCTACTGTACAAACAATCAATAGCGGACGTGCCCATCACGTGCACGATAGAGGCGCACGACGCAGCCACTAGTGCCACCAATCCTTGCTGGGGGATTCTGAGGTCAAACATGTCTCAACTGAACTGTTGTGGATTTTCTGGGTGTGGGTTTCTACTGTGTACAGAACTCTCTAAGTTTTAGAGATAATTAAAAACTCACAGATCAAAATTTAATGAAATCAAAAGTTAACCCAGCATGGTCTCATGTACTTCATACTACCCTTTCATTAAATAAGTGCTATCTTCTCGGCGAGATAATCATGCAGCAAGAGGAGTTTTTATTCTTTTTTCAAAAGTCACTTCGCCGCTATTGCTTTTCCCATTCATACATTTTATTTTTTTGCCCCCCCCCACCCCTCTGCCTCCCAAGACTGTTCATTTGGTCAAACAGTGCTACCGGGGGAACTTTACAGTGGACATTTAAAAGATCAAAGACTACTCAAAATTAAAACCAAAAAGGTGTGAGTCGCTTCTCTATAAAGTCACAAGTGAAGTCAAATGTTTTCTCAGTGTAAAACAAAATAAAAATAAAGGCATCTGAAGCCTTCTAACTGGCCGTGCCGGGCAGGCTTATCAATAAAAACAATAGAACTTGAATTGATTCAGTATAGTTTTGCCGAAATAGAACCACCGGATATCACCTGTAAACCGCGTCCAGCAGAAAAAAATAATATGTTCTCAGCGGAATTATTTGTTTTTCTCAAAATTCGCATCGTCGCAATTGCTTCTTAATACCACATGGGAGTTCCCAGTATCATCACTGAAGTCAGGACTTACCCGAAAAATATCACCTGTTGAAGCAAAATGGCAGTAGTTACTTCAAGGTGGTAAAGGTTGCCCAATCAACGCTCTTTTTCACAACTTATCTTCGTCAATCGATAGCTTTGAAATGCCCCTTAACCTTCTTTCCCAAGACGACGCACGAATTCGTGTCTTCCTCCTTCTGTTCGTGGGCTTTTCTCAAGAAGAAACACATATATATATAGCTGGCATCCACTCACTGACAACTTATTCCAAAGACATGATGGCAACACTGCTCGTTTGGATGATTATTTCGTCTGCATACCACTTTGCTTTATCTATAAATTTGAATTTTAGTCCAAGGTAAGTACAGTTTCAATATGAGCACACATATTTTATAGACTGAACATTTAATAGAAAACTTGAGCCCCATGAGGCAACCGTTTGGACACATAAAAATATTAATGGTTTTAAGTCTAATTGTTCCTACTGTTTGTCAGCCAGTGAAAGTAGGGCATATATTGTATAAACGAATTTGTCATCAATCAGTCTGTCGGTGTACATTATAACTTTACATTAAAATCAATATTGCTAATAATTTTAAGGAATCCTTAATTGAACAAAAGCATGTACTTCAACAGACCCCCAACCCCCCCCCCCCCAAAAAAAAAAAAAAAAAAGGGGGGGGGCTGTTACATTGTACAAAAAAACCAAATATATTGGCAATAGCGATGTCAACGTACTGCATCAGTTGCGTTCAGTCCCATATCACACATTGTTTTTTAAATTATTTTTTCCATATATGTAACAATCACCTTTTAAACTAGCCTAGGAACACCGACCACAACCTGCACCCAGCAATGCGGCAGTGAACTGAAGTATATGGAATATAGACTCCAGACGCTCGATGACAAATATCAGCAATTGGCTGACAAAGTGACAAAAATTACGGCACCACCTCGTAAGTAGTTTTGTTGTCATGAATTTGTAGTATAAAGGAGCTTAAAAAGGTCTATACCTGTTAGTTTAGCTTATTCTAAAAATTGTGTATTGGATATTTTAAATGTGTAGTATGGTAATGCCTCTGTTCTTAGAACAGAATGTGAAGTCGTTATATTCTGTTTAACAGTCCACAGACTGGAAAACCTCCACAAACAATGCTTAGGTTTCTTGTGTGCGGACGGGTTTCGGTAAAGAACCATTCCCACATACATTTGGATCCTTCTATCTCCCTGGGGAGTCTCACTAAATTGCTATAAACTTAAGCAGGAAAACTGGAAAAGCCTGCATGAACAACCGAGTCCAGTCGACTCAAAAACGTGAATGCCAAATTAGCCTTATAGACCTTCCTATTGGTTAGAAGGTATAACTTAAGCCGGAAATACAAAGAGTTTTGCTTTTTACTGACGACTTCCAAAAATTTGGCACTTTTAATGTGGTTAACGCCCCTCAATATTTATTCATTTATACTTCTTTTAGCAATCTATATCTAGATTAATCTATAAATTACACTCGCGAAAGTGGAAATAGTTTGAAACGATATCGAGTGACACCTTCAAGACTAATGAGGGAAAAACTCTCAAAAACGCATTAAAGATCTATTTTAAAATTGCACGTCATTTTTTTCATCAAAGGACAGATATTGATCGTAATTATACAGCAAAAAATAAATAAATAAATAAATAAATAAATAAATAAATAAATAATAAAAATCAAACAAGTTTATTTCCTACTTCCTTCTCACAGGCCTTTATTGGATCACTCTGTCCTTGAAACTAGCAATGATGAAGATAATAACCTGACCGTTCAAGTATGCGCGCGCATATACAGTATAGCTACTGCAACTAAAAACTACTGAATTTTACATGAACTGATGATAGCGACATTGCGTTAGTTGTGACTGTGCGACTGACTTATTGCTGTCAACAACATAAAGAGATGAGAGATATAAGAGAGATTGTTGCAAATTCAATAAAGATAATACATGTATATCACATAACATACCTGTGGTATACTTAAATTTTTAATTATTGCATGCTTTACTGAATATTAGTTTCGCATGGACTAATGACTCTCCAAGACAAAGATGGTAATGAGCTCAACACACAAGACAATTAAGATATTAGAAATAGTCGAAGAATTATATGGAGAGCTTTTTGACAGTAACAAAGGAGTATTATTCCCAACTTCAGCATATGATCTCCCAGATATAACAGCTTAAAAAATAGAAGTAGCAAGGTGCTTATATCTGAGAAAAATACCAGCAGCATGGGCAAATTCTGATAACATCATACTGTTCAAAAAGAGTAATAGGAGAGACACTAAGAGCTTCAGATCCGTCTGCTTATTATCTACCCTGTATAAGATTTATACTATGATCTTGACTCAAAAGCTTACAAGATGCCTGGATGAAGCACAGCCATACGAACAAGGATCTGCTTGATTTTATGGGGAATGAAATATGAGGAGTGCTATGAACTCCAATGCCCTAAGGTAATTAATTATTTTTTTTTTTTCTTGCTCGTTATAAAGATAAAACACTCGAAAATGTTTTGCTGTTTTTTTCTGTTAACAGCGCAAGGCAAGGACTGTGCAGAGCTGTATCATAAAGGGGTAAGGATCAGCGGCGTGTACACCATCATTCTCAGTAAAACTGGAAAAAAACTTGATGTCTACTGCGATATGAAGACCGACGGCGGTGGCTGGACGGTACGATTGTACATTTCTATAAAAATAATCTTTGATAATTAGACCTGAAATATTCAGTCCCAATGCGTTCACCAGCTTAACATGGTGCATTAATAAGACCTTCATTTGTGAGCTTTTATTTGTCGCAAAAGAGATACAATTGCATGTAGCCATTTTTTCTCATTCTATTTGAATCATATAGGAAATGGACATTAGAAATTCATATTACATAACATATTTTGCATTATAAAAAAAAAAAAACCCGATGATTTACCATTCAGGTGTTCCAAAGACGAATGGACGGAACTGTGGACTTCTACAGAAACTGGCAGAACTATAAATATGGCTTTGGGAATCTGAACACTGAATTCTGGTTAGGTAGGTTATATAGGTTATGCAATAGACTTTATGCAAAAATAAATAAATAAATAAATAAATAAATAAATAACTCGCAGTTGGGAACGTTGTCAGTGCCCATATTTTAATGCAGGGCCATACTGGCAGACTAGGGAGGGGGTGGGGATGCCCAGTCCCAGATATATTCCAATGAAACTTTGGAGATCTTTATATAGGGTAAAACTTTCTCCTTCTCTAAGTCCGTCAGAAGTATCTTAATTACTTCTCCTTAAGCTAGCGTTTAAATAAATATCACAGGCGGTACAAATAAACTGTAAGCATGCATGTCTGGTAGGCCTTCATCATGTGCCATCAAAAGTTTTCCCAGCCTGCGCCCTGTAATCGTAATCGTTATTTGTGGTGGTGTTCGTCTTATTAGACCTCAGATGACGATAAACTCTGTATGAATTAGAGATAATTTATACCCAAATCTATCGAGTTATGTTGCTCAATGTTTCAAGGAAAACGTTTCTTTTTATTTATTTATTTATTTATTTTGTTTGTTTGTTAAATTGTCACAATTATTGCTACACGGACATCGCTATATATAAATGTCAGGTGCGGCTACGTGAAATAATCAGTTTTAAGAGTTTTGCACTTTTAGTCAAAAGGAGATGCGCTAATGTTTGTGCCATATATTTTTGGACTAAGCACATGACGTTTAAGTGTAAGTAGCCGTTCTGTAGCCTACCTGAACACTTGCATCCGTGCGTAATAATTACTGGTTACTTGCAGGAAATGACTATATCTACTTCTTGACCACCCAGGATAAGTATGAACTCCGAGTGGACATGCAGGACGCCCAGGGGTCCAGTCGATATGCGCAATTTGACAGCTTTGCCATAGGGTCCGAGGCTGACAAATACAGGCTTGCAGTCAGCGGTTATTCTGGCACAGCTGGTAAGTTATATTCTAGCACATCCGGTCAACAGAGCTCATATCTTCTTGACCGGATGTTATATTCTAGCACATCCGGTCAATAAGATATGAGCTCTGTTGGTAGGATATGAGATCTACCATTTACTTTTAGATTACCTTTTATTTTAGATGCCAATTACAGTATAATCCCAATGCCTTGCGCCTTGAATAAAATCGTAGCATTCTGGAAAGTTTTGTGAGGATATTGTTGAGACCAATTACAGTAGGCCCTGGCCAAGACGTTAGTAAACAACAACATAAACTGCAAAAACATTGTACAGTATACGCTGAAAATTCATTGTAACATTAGCAAATTTTAACTGATATTAAGAAGTAAAAATATTAGCAGACTCAATAACATTTGTTACTCATGCAATAAAAAGAGATAACAACTCTTCATATTAAATTCATAATTTCACAATAAATGCATTGTTAACAACATATCTTATTGCAACTATTCTGAGATCTGTGTTGCCATTGGACCACGTGGACCTTCAAGCATAGATTACTTCACCCTGTAATTATATCTTAAGAGATTATTGGAAAGTAAGCAGGAAAATGGTCGTGCACCCCAGGATAATCCGTTTTATTGTCCTTTTCTCGCCAAAATGAAGAGTTTTATCCCTTTAATATTGTACATGTATTATCATTATGCATAGCAAATGGAACTGTTATGTACGATAACCATGTTTTAACATAGCCTACATTAAATGTAGATGATGTTAGATGCTACCCATTTATATCCTCGACTCGCATGGACTGGCAGGGAACGATTTTTTAAATTTCAGTCAAGTTAATATCACCATTCTCAGTAAACTGGGAAAAACCTGATGTCTGAGTGCTATATGAAGACTGACAGCGGTGGCTGTATGGTACTATTGTACTTAAAACTGCATGTATATCCAAAATTTTAGGTGACGACCTCACTGGCCATAATGGTCAGCGTTTTTCTACTAAAGACCAAGACAATGATAAAAACGGCGGAAATTGCTCGTATATGTTTAAGGGTGCTTGGTGGTACGGTAATTGTCATAGCTCCAATCTTAATGGTATGTACTATCTTGGAGACCACTCTTCCTATGCGGACGGCGTGAACTGGAATAGGTTCAGAGGCACGTACCACTCCCTTAGGAGGACTGAAATGAAGATTCGCCCACAGGGCTTCCAAGGTTCATCCATAGTCGTAGGATAAGGGTACCAAACTCTACGACCTCACGCATATTCCACGCATTATTCAGTATGGATTCCTTTCTTGCTCTCGAATGTTATCTTTTTTCAAAAACATTGTAAACCATGGGCACAGACGTATCTTGCTGGTTATACCGTTACCATGCAACCAGGAAATTATATTTTGAAGTGTCTCAACAAATCTCTGAAAAAGCCGTAATGCTTCTGGATGAGCATACTGTGTTTGAGTTTCATCTGCTCAATGCCACCACAAAAGAAATAGTTTGATTGGAATAAAAATTATGCGAAATCCCTAATACATGTGTTATCCAACAGTCGTAGCCACATCCATTTTTTACGATAAATGATTTATGTCTTTTCGTATTTACTGAATGATGTTTGTTGGTTTCCTTCAGCGCAATTTTTGGTGTATGGATTCTATTCTGTGAAATATTAGCCGGGTAAAATGTGCAGTATAGCTACTATACGCATCCGAGCGCTACCACAAATGTTTTTTTTTTAACTGAAAGGTGACTCTACTTCTTTTTGTAATTCTTGCATTAAAGTTATTAGGTTCCCAGTGCAACTTGTGGCGTACTAATTCAATTCCGTCAAATATTGGCCGTATAAAAACCCGCAATACAGCCACTACACTCCCAAACACGATGGTTTTTTGCATCAGTGCTGCAATGTCGTCACCTTTTAGGTTTTATGGTTCTTTCGCCTGGAATAAGATCAATATAGATTTGTATTACCTATTTGTTTTTATCAAAGAATATAATGATTTTGATTATTAAGTGCCATTTCACGAGAGACTCGACCAAATAGCGTCAAGGTGGGGTCAACAGATTTTAATGAAAATTGGTGTGAAGATGTGTCCTAAGAAGTTATGAGCTTCTGTGAAATAAAATGGAAAAATATCCATTCTTGGCAAAAATATGGGGTGAACAATATTTGCACTGGTTTTGCTCCGAGATAACCAGTTTCACTCTCCTTACAATGTGGTGCATATACATGAGAATAATTTTTGAAAGGAATAAAATATTTGATATATTAGTGTATATACTTGGTTAGAACAAATAGCTAACATCACAACCAAGTTGTTTTTTAAAGGATTTTATCACCCCCTGTAAATTGATGCCCGTTTTTCTCGCCCCTCCCCCCAAACCACTTTTACAATCACTTTATCTACGCTCAAACTGCATACACCTTGAAACTGTTGTAAATGTTGACACAAGTACTTAATAAACGTTATACATTAAAAGAAAAAAATTATTCCCTTGACCTTGACGGCGTTTCTTTGTCAAAAATTCACGAGATTCACAAATTGTGAGCTCAACCGCGTAATCGACATTTTACAAGTACATGTAGTTCCCCAAGAATAAAGATGACGGCGATTAGTAGTGAAAAAATCTTAATGAGGCGGATTTAACATACAATGAAAGTGAAAACTGAAACTAGCACTACTTAAATGAAGTATAACCATTAACAAAACATAAATATGTAAAAATAGACGTTCATACTCTGAACTAATTTCCCGCCCAATTAAATAATAGGTGCATACATCCGAAGCAATGAAAAACTAACGCAATCACACACACACACACACACACACACACACACACACAAAAAAAAAAAAAAAAAAAAAAAAAAAAAAAAAAAAAAAACTACGACGTCTGTCTGCTTTGCTTGTAGTAACAGCTGCCCTGATTTACCCTGAGTGTCAGAGCAACGTAAAAGCTAGCTTGTTAAATATACCTTGTGATGGAGTTGCTTTTACTAGTATTTACCGGTATTGCTGATATGGATTATATATGAAATCAAGATCGAGCTGGCAATACTGGAATCTAGAACCTAGGGTACCCTGATTCTGATTTTGGATGAAATCAACCCAAATACAATCTAGCTTTGAATATACGAATATTTTCCCAGACAAGAGCCTGTCCATCGGACTCGAAAAACACGTCCGCGACAAATGTTACACGTGTTGGGCGATTGGGCGGGTGGCCATTTACTACGCTGGTATTATGCAATCCATGTATTTGAACAAAGACCCTTGAGCAATTTCTGATTGCTTTGTTTCACAAGAAGTCTCAAGGGTTTTGTTTTCCTTGCTTTACAAATGGTGCCTTAAGCAAATCCTGCTTGTCTTGCTGCATAGGTACCTCATCTCCTTGAGTTGGACGACGATAATTAAAGGAAGACCTTTGAACAAATTCTGATTGATTTACTTCACAAGAAGTGTCAAGGGTTTTGTTTTTCCTGTCTTTACAAAAAGTGCCGTAAGCGAATCATGTTTGTCTTGCTGCATAGGTTCGTGATCCAAACACCGTCAAAAATGTTCTTTGTTAACAGGTGGTGACTTTAATTCTCGTTACTCGTGCATAATATTTGTTGGTTTCCCTAGCGCAACTTTTGGCGTACAAATTCAATTCCGTCAAATATTGGCCGTATAAAAATCCGCAATACGGACACTGTGCACCCGATCACGGTGGCTATTTGCATCAGCGCTGCAATATAGTCATCTTTTAGGGTCCTTTCGCCTGGAATGAGAGCAAGAGAGCTGGGATTAATATCTGTAATGCCTGTTTGTTCTTTTTTGTATTAATATTTAAACCCGTTCTCCACTTTTGTCATAGCGCTACGTACATTATAAACATTGAAATACAAAATGCTAAAACACACCATCTAAATTTACCTAATACAGATTATAAAATTCTACCTCTGGAACGCACTTACTAAAATTGCCAATAGCTAAATAACATTTAGTGCATATAGAACGAAATGTGAATTTACAAATTTTGTATGAGCGTGCATAATAAGAAATGCAATCACTTGTAAAACGGGAACATTTACTTTTTCATTTGAAAATATGATTTTCAAGGAACGCGATGAACGATGAGATAAAAAAGAGATCCCTTAAATGGCAGATACCTTAAGTTTGATACTTAAGTCCTATTAAAGAAACTTTAAGTCATTAAACAATCATTTGGATGCAAGACCATTGAACCACACATCGGAAGTATTTGCCAAAAACGAAGTCAGAATTAAAGTTTGATTAAAAGATATGTAGATTAATAACCAAAGTGCCGTCGGTTCTTTTTATTGCAAAATGTGGCCTATCCCTCCCCCCTGTCCGTAAAATATATCTTCTCATCACATCAAAACAAAATCACCAAAAAACATCATCTCATAATGTTTGAATTTATTGAATTCGAACCGTAGTGTCTAGATTCAATAAATTTAAACATAATGAGATAATGATTTCCCCCCGAAAATAACGAAAACGATTAATAAATAAACAAATAAAATAATTAAAGTGCCTGTTAGTTATACCTATAGATTTTAATTTAAAATTGAAAATTTTCTAAAAGGAAGTTGGTTTTGTGTAAGAAAGTACATTGCTTGAAAGTGGCTAAAATAATAAAATGTTTTTAAGAATACAAAAAAAAAAAAATTAACTGTTTGAAATTTTTGAATAAGTACCGTATATATCCAACTTGGGACGGATTATCCCGAGACTGCCCTAGCACACTATTCAACTTACCTGCCGTTAATCCAAGCACCCACAACGAAATAAAACCCCACAACATCACTTTTGTGGCAGACATGTTGACAAAATTTTAGTTTTTGTGTCCTCAGCTGTGATACTGTAACAAAGAGGCTTCCGTCAGCCGACGCTGCGTTCAGGTTGAGATCTCAAAATTAAAAGATTGTATAGACAGCCTGCTTTTTAAGATGGCTATTTCAAAACTGACACGACAGTTGTAATGGCCCTCTGGTCACCTTGTCGTCTCGCTGGCCGTGAATAAGAAGCACATGAGTCCTAAAAGGTGTTATCATTCGTAAAATTAAGCCGGTGTGTGTTGTGCTGTATAAGTCAAGAGATTCCCCAGTTCTATCTACTGAATTCATAGGTCAGGTTTACCCGTCACCAGAAGATTTGAGGTGAGATTAATTGGTGATAAAATCAAATGTAATGGCAGGTTTGCATGACACATTTGAAAAAGACATTGTAGGCTACAACTGTTAAACGACTGGCTCAGAACGGTGGGAAGAGTCGTTTATTGGCCGATTGTACGATGAAATATTAAATATTAATTAATATATGAAAGTATTAAGTAAAGACAATTGCAAATAAAATAATTACAATAATGAAGGTATCAAGAACAATACAAAAACGCAAATTACACAATCAAGGTAAACACACAGGACATTTCTTGGTTGAACAAATAAATACAGTAGGTGTATAAAAGTATATAATAACAAAAATTAAATTAAATTACGAGTACTCACACAATCTTTCATAACCCAGCATTCATACAGGTGACTCGTAAAAGGTTTATAAACAATAATGAAAACTAAACTGCAACAACATATATCTGTCTGATTTGCCCGTAACTCATGATTATCTGGTTTCTGGTGTGCCACGTGAAAAACAGCACAGGGCCCCACTAAGGGGGGGGGGGGGAGGAGGAAATAGGAACCAAAACCGGTGCCGATTAGTGTTGTCGGCAACACTTCCCCACTTGGACAATAATAATAATAATAATAATAATAAAACAATAATAATTTAATAATAATTTGCAGCGTGGACAGAAATCTGTCACAAAAGTTAACAAAATTTCACAATATTTCACGCCTTATCAAACTAAATTGCCTATTTAAACGTATTTTTTGTAATCTCCGCCCCTTGCACTGCAGAATCAATTAACGAAATGAAATGACAAACACGGTATGTAGGTTGGAATAATTTTAGGCCAGTTGAGGTCGCTTTTATTTTTGCCAAACCCAAATGAGATGTATTACATTTTATTTAACTTATTGGCCATGAATTTAAAATGGTAATCGTCCAGCGAATAGCTTTTATCAACGTCATAAAAATTTACTTTTTGATTGTGATTCAAACAATTAACCCAGTTTTTAAGACATTAATTATTTCCAAAATTCAATATTAGAACAGGAACTTCATTATTTCGTCCCAAAATTATACTTGCACTTAATTACTTTCAAAATTTTACAGCC